GTTTTGTGTTTCAGTAATTAGTAGTCTGTGTATTTAAACCCTGTCCTGTCTCAGTCTGATGTCGGTTCATTGTTGAATGTTGATGGTTCTATGTGTTCCTCGTGCTCTGTTCCCCTCGTGCCTGTGACTCTCCATACTTGTAAGTTTGCTGCCAGCAGCCCTCCTTCAGTTATTTATAAATAAATTTTTGTTACATTTTTGAGCCTGCCTGCGCCCTGGATCAGTTCCTTGCTAAAACCTCACAAGTGGGGAAAAAGTATTTAGTCAGCATCAATTGTTCAAGTTCTATCACTCAAAAAGATGAGAGAGGCCTGTGATTTACATCATAGTTAGACCTCAACTATGAGATACTAAATACCCCCCCCCCCACAGTACATGAGTACAGAATACTCCATCTTTTAGGACACATTTTTTTCTGGTCTTGGTCTTGACTTGGTCTCAGGTTAGGTGGTCTTGACTACAACAATTAGAAACTGTAACAGTGCAAATAAAACAAGKTAAATATTCAAAATAATAAAGAAAAGTAGGAAGAAATAAAACAGACTTTTCTCCTGCAGGAGCTGCAGTTTGTCTCTGTAGTTCAACTCATGGAATATTATTTTTATTCTAAACTCTCCTCTGTTCTGCCTGTTAAAACAAAAATAAAAACAGACTCTGCTCGGTCTGGACTGGAGAGACGGAYGTAATTTCAGCACCAATTCTGGATGAAAATGTGTGAAAATGTGATGCAAGAGCCAGACTGCTTCTCCGAGCCTCACAAAGATATTGGCAGTTTGAGGATGTGTCAAAAAGGAGTTAATGAGTCCGACTCTGTAACTGACGTCTGTGGCTCTGAATCATTTCTTCCACCTGACAGCTGCTGAGCTCCTCTTCTCCCAGCGTCCCCTCAGGTCAGAGCAGAGCACTCCTACATTTATTCTTCTTCATGAGCATCCAGCCAGCTCCATCCCGCACGGCCCTGAACTCTCGAAGCAATCAGACGCTCTTGAACTGTGTTTCTTCCTCATCCCCCCACCCAGCTCTCATCGTTTATCCTCATAAAAGTCCGAGCGCAGTTCCTGAGCTGCTCACAGGTCCGGCTGAGCTCCAGGAGCYGAGCAGCAGCTGCTGGGAGACAGACCTACCTGGATCAGAGAGCTCCTGATGATCCGGCTCACATCCAGCCTCCACTCCGGAACGTCGGGGTTGTGCTCATCCAGGTTGGAGGAGAAGGCCAGCAGATGAGATCGAAAGTATTCTGCAGGGTGAAGAACAAGAAGGTTTTGTTCTTTTATGTTTTCTTCCGATAAAAAAAAAACTAGAGTTTATATTTAGAAGAGGCACAAACAGTGTCAAACAGAAAGCATCTGCAACATTAAATAAATCTGCAGCAAAATGAACAATTTACTGGTTGAAAACCTGCTTCCTGTGGCTCAAAGAGGCTTTCTACTTTAAGAATGGAAGTAAAGAGAAGAGCAGAGAAAACCTGAGTGAAAGACAAATACACTGAGGTTCACACAGAACAAACCATCTCACTCTCAAAGGATTTGATAATGAATAATTGCAAACATTTTTAAAGCTAAATTAAAATAAAAACCAATTTTTGTGAAGTGAAAACTTGTTTTTACAGATGATAATTTAGCTCAAAGAGGTTAACTGATAAATTATTCACAATGTGTTTTGTTTGTTTTGTAAAATATATATAAATATATAATATTAGTGTGTTATCAGCTAAAGTAATTGTGTCCTGTTAAGGC